GTGGGTAGTGTAGCTATCTTCCCTCCCCGACCCTGATTGGAGGAAGCCAGGTTCCAAAGAGCACAGAGTGGGTAGTGTAGCTATCTTCCCTCCCCGACCCTGATTGGAGGAAGCCAGGTTCCAAAGAGCACAGAGTGGGTAGTGTAGCTATCTTCCCTCCCCGACCCTGATTGGAGGCCGCCAGGTTCCAAAGAGCACAGAGTCAGTTTAATGCTGACTCACCGTGACCGTTCCACGAACACACCAATAGCAAAGGGGATCTGAGCTGCACCGCATGTCTGATCTCATCTCCAATACCTCACAATTCCAGTTCCGGTAGGCCAGCTTTGGATTCAGCATCAGGTTTGGTTGTGCAGTGATTCCAGAAGTGTGACACAAAGAAGCCTAATGATCAGCTATTAATAGTCGAATGATTCATTTAAGACATAAATTATGTACACTGGATGTGCAATGGATCAGATGTGACAAATAGGTGATAAAAATGGATTTACACCAGATACGATTTGAAGTTTTGAGGACTTTGAGACGTTGAACGTCCTCAAGTAATGTAATTGTTTCAGAAACTACATTTCCTGTGTGTGTGTGTGTGTGTGTGTGTGTGTGTGTGTGTGTGTGTGTGTGTGTTGGCTCAAACTTGCATTAGGAATAAAGGAAAACTACTGAGTGATTATTCTGTTCTGATCAGTTTGGTTTTACCTCAGCGCAGAGAGCAGGGAAAAAATGACTGAATTATATCAACTGAATACACCTCTCCCTCTCTCTCTCTCTCCTCGTCTCATCTCTCTCTCCCTCTCTCTCTCTTCTCCTCTTCTCGTCCTTCTCTCTCTCTCATCTCCCTCTCTCTCCTCTCTCTTCTCGTCTATCTCCCGATCTCTCTCGTCGTCACTCTCTCTCTCGTCTCCGTCTCTTCTCTCTCTCTCTTTCTGTCCTCCTCTCCCGTCCTCCATCGTCTTCCTCCCCTTCTCTGCTTCGGCTCTCTCACTCTCTCCAGGCCTCTCTCTCTTTCTCTTCTTCGTCTCTCTCTTTTCCCTCTCTCTCTTCTCTCCCCTCTCAGGGTTCTCATCTCGTTCTCACCCCTCTTGCTCGTTCTCTCGGGCGTCTCTCTCCTTCTTGCTACTCTATCTCTCTTCTCGTGCCCTCCCTCTCTCGCTGCCTCTCTCGTTCTCGCTCTCCTCTGGGGCTTTTCCCCCTCTCCTCGACAAATGGGCTTCTCCTCCACAGTGGGGCTCCCCTTACCGGGGATCGATCAGCGTTCCCGTGCGCACCTCCGTCACCCGCTGTCTTCCTCTCTCGGGGCCTCTTCTCTCTTCTCTTCTTTCTCAAGTTCCTCGCGTTCTCCCCAGGGTCTCTCTCTATCTCTCTCGGCCCCTGGGCTCTCCGGGTTTGGTCGTCCTCGTCCATCGCTCCTCTCGGGTGAGCGGCTCCGGCTCAGCTTCCGGTCTCAATCGGTCGTCGGGCGATCTCTTCTGCAGCTCAATGCTTCTTCTCTCTCTCTCTCTCTCTCTCTCTCTCTCCATTAGTAATGGTCTCCCCTAATGGAGGTCTCCTGCCCTCCAGCGTGTGTAGCCCGCTGGGCCAGGTCATGGACCCTCCAGTGTGTGTAGCCTGCTATGCCCCTCCCCTTTCCCTTCCTAATGGCTCTTAATGAAGGACCTCATTAAGGATCGCTGCTCCGCTAACGAAGGGTGTGTGTGTGTGTTTGACGAAGTAGGGCCACACAGCTGCTCATTAGGCTAACAGCTCCAGGGCTTTGTCTCCAACAATCACACTGGATCCACAGCACCGACTGCACCCCCAAAAATGAAGAAGAAGAAGAAGAAGAAGAAGAGAAGAAGAAGAAGAAGAAGAAGAAATATTAGCGCTACCTATGTTGTACTTCGGGACAGTTGTATATGATGAGTTGTTGATGTAACCAAACCAGGTTTCAAATGAAATCAAATTGTATTTGTCACATACGCGTGTTTAGCAGATGTTATTGCGGGTGTAGCGAAATGCTTGTGCTTCTAGCTCCGACAGTGCAGTAATATCTAACAAGTAATATCTAACAATTTCAGAACATATACCCAATACACACAAATCTAAGTAAGGAATGGAATTAAGAATATATACATATATGGACAAGCAATGACAGAGCGGCATGGACTAAGATACAGTAGAATATTATAGAATGCAGTATATACATATGAGATGAGTAATGCAAGATATGTAAACATATTTAAAGTGACTGGTGTTCCATTTCTTAAAGTGGCCAGTGATTTCAATAGGCAGCAGCAGCCTCTAATGTGCTAGTGATGGCTATTTAACAGTCCGATGGCCTTGAGATAGAAGCTGTTTTTCAGTCTCTCGGTCCCAGCTTTGATGCACCTGTACTGACCTCGCCTTCTGGATGATAGCGGGGTGAACAGGCAGTGGCTCGGGTGATTGATGTCCTTGATGATCATTTTGGCCTTCCTGTGACATCGGGTGCTGTAGGTGTCTTGGAGGGCGGGTAGTTTGCCCCCTGGTAATGCGTTCGGCAGACCGCACCACCCTCTGGAGAGCCCTGCAGTTGCGGGCGGTGCAGTTGCCGTACCAG